GCACTCAGTCCACCTCTCTGTCTTATTCTCTGATATTCGGGGTCCCAGGGTCACCATCTTTGTCTGTTTCACTGGTCTATGTCTTTTTTGCAGAGGGTTGGCTCAGTGTGTCTGCCTACTCCGCCATCGTTCCCAAGAAGAACTTGTATTATTTTTATTTTCTATTCATGCCATGCTATTTGAATATCTCCTTACTTTTGTATGTTTTTTGTTTATCTGGAATATTCTTCCTTTCACCATTTTCTGCCTTTAGCTGTCACACTGCTGAATCATTATCAAACAGCCAGTTTTTCTTTTCACTTCTCACCCCTTCTGACGGAATTGGATTTGCACTTCTTTGAGTTCTTGCTGAATCCCTCACAGATTTTATTTAATTTATTAGAGTACCCTCTCTCCATCTTCTGGAAATCAGGGATTTTGTTTTATTGGACACATATTTTCTACTACACACACTGTTGAAAGAATGAAATTATGAAAGAGAGTTATTTTTTTCTTCCTTTTCTTTCAGCCCTTAATAACTATATATTTAAAGCACTTAAGGTATCAACATTTTTTGGTTCTTAGGTCAGAAGACTATTTGCTTTCCATCCCCCCACCCTGAGAAAGCCTTGTTAAAAAGTTTTGAGCCTATACTTAATTTTGTGACTTTTTAGAGATGTGGTCCATTTCTTCCTACCCCTTCAGTACTATCTCTATCAGACCTTTGCCATGTTGTTGTTGTTGTTATGTGCCGTGTAGTCAGTTCCGACTCATAGCGACCCTGCACAGGGTTTCCGAGGCTGTAAATCTTTACGGGAGCAGAAAGCCTTCTCTTTCTCCCACGGAACAGCTGGTGGTTTTGAACTGCTGACCATGAGATTGGCAGTCCAATTCGTAACCACTACGCTACCAGAGCTCCTGACAACAACAATAGAATATTGGAATTAGAAATTCTTCCTTTGAGTATTTAATTGTGATACATGCTACTGAAATGATTTGAATTATAACTTCAATGTTACAAGAAGCCTAGTAAATATTTTAAGAATTTTTTGCAAGGAAAGGTGCTTATAGTAACTTGTAAGTACATTTAGCTTATCAAACATTGGAAAAACAATTTTTAAAAAATGTCTTTGTAAAAAGAACTCATTGATCTGTTAAACTTCATCAGTTTTGCGTCAGGAATATGAATTTCATTTCCAGCTTTAGATATTGTTACTATTCAGCCTTTTAATCTTTTTAATGCTTTATATTTTTACAGGTTTCGTTATATTATCCTGAAGCAGAAGTTTCTAGAAGCTTTATGTGTTAACAATGCAATGTCAGCAGAAGATGAGCCCCAGCATGTAAGATTTTTATTCCTGAAGGTTTGCGCCATAGTCTTGTTTTCAGTCGTAAATATTTTCTTCACTGAAACAAAAGGATGGGATATCATGCATTTTAAAAGTTTTCATGATCTGGAATGGGTCAAGATTGGCTACTCTGCAAATGTAGTACTTTCAGTCTATCAAATTTCCAAACTTGTTCAGTGATTTCAGACAAGATGATATATAAATGACTGGCTGGTTGGATAGTATGTGCTTCCTTCTTCTTTGATGTCATGTATATGTTTATGTGGTGCTGTGAGTTAATGCACTGGACTGCTAGGTTGGTTTGAACTGCAAGGTTGGAAGTTCAAGCTCACCAGCTGCTCCTTGGAAACTCTACACAGGGTCGCTATGAGTTGGAACCAAATCAACATTTTTAACAACAACGTTTCACTTGATGACTCTTCATCATTGCTTCTTTTTTTATCCAGAATTAAATTTCTCTGTCTTTTTCATATTTTCTTTGATCCAGGAGATAGTTTTTTTTTAATGTTTTATTGTGAATTATGTGATAGTCTACATGGGAGAACATCAGCTTTACATTCATTCCATCATCTATCATTTCATTGGCATAGTTATCATCCTGTCCATGCATCCTCACCCAACCAAGGGATGTACCTTGTAAGCCTGCACCCCCCCCACCACCACCACAGTCCTCAGCACCTTTCCATCTCCTGATCCCGAGCCCCCAGCCCCACCATCTCTTGACATTGTCTTCTCTGCCTCCATCCCATGCCTCACTGCCTCTCAGGGTAGGATTCCGCTCTTCGCTCTTCTCCAATGATGGTCGCAGGGTCCCAGGAGATAGTTTTTTGATAAAATATTTGTCTTTACTAGAATTTAAACCTTCTCGTTCCATTGAATTGTTTCTGACTCATAGTGACTCTCTATACAACAGAATGAAACACTGCCTGATCCTGGGCCATCCTCGCACTGGTGATGTTTATGCCCATTGTTGCTGTAACTGTGTCAATCCATTGCATTGAGAGACTTCCTCCTTTTTGCTGACCCTCTACTTTACTAAACATGATGTTCTTCTTTGGTTACTCCTGGTAACATGTCCAAAGTATGTGAGGAGTCTTGGCAATCCTCACTTCTAAAGAGCAGTCCATAGCATATTCAGTATTCTTTACCAACACCCTAATTCTTGTTCTTGTAAGTGCCATTGAGATGGTTCCAACTCATAGCAACCCCTTTATAAGGTTTTTGAGGAGTGGGTTTGAACTTCTAACCTTACAGTTAGCAGTTCAGTGCTTATCCTTCAGCGCTGCACCAGGACTCTTAGGTCTTTTTTATTGATTGTCCAGCTTTTGCATGCATAGGAGGTGATCGAAAATACCATGGCCTGGGTTAGGCACACCTTGGTCAGCAAAGTGATGTCTTAGCTTTTTAACACTTTAGCTTTTTAACACTTTGAGAAAGTCTTTTGTAGTAGGTTTGCCTAACACAATTCGTCATTTGATTTATTGACAGCTGCTTCCATGGTTGTTGATTGTGGAGCCAAGTAAAATGAGATTCTTGAGAACGTCAGTCTTTTCTCTGTTTATCATGATGTTGCTTATTGGTTCAGTTGTGAAGATTTTTGTTTTCTTTATATTGCAGAGTAATCCATACTGAAGGCTTTATGTCTCATATCTTCATCAGTATGTGCTTCAAATTCTCTTTGCTTTCAGCAAGCAACATTGTGCCATCTGCACATTGTAGTTTGTTGATGAGTCTTCTTTCAATCCTGATGCTCTGTTTTCCTTTATATTGTCCAGTTTCTTGGATTATTTACTCAGCATATGGATTGAATAAGTACTGTGAAAGGACATGAATTTGACACACACCTTTCCAATTTTAAACTATATAGTAGTCTTTTCTTCTATCTGATTAACTACCTCTTGGTCTTCGTATAGGTTTTGTATGAGCACAGTTATGTGTCCTGGAATTCCCATCCCTTGCAATGTTATCCTTAATTTGTTGTAATCTACACAGTTGAATGCCTTTTCATAATCAATAAAACACAAGTAAACAGTAACAACAGGGCTCTGGGATACAGGGATTGAGACCTGGGTGGAATGGGCAAAAGGGGGGAAACAATGCTAAGATGCTTGGCTGTCTTTTGAATCTTGGTTTCCCTTGCATACCATTATAAAATAGACACTGGAGGGGGAGAGAAAGGAATAGCCAGAAATATCACCATAGAAAGTTTGTAAGTCTATCTTCTGCCT